AAAGACAAGACTAAAAGATGGGGTTGAGAGGGTCTCACTCAAAGCCCGCAAGACGCTAAGCCAAGAATGGACCTTGAGTTTATTTTCAGCAGTTAATTTATACAATTTCAACTAGCTATCTTGTGCATTCCTGCACATAGGCATAGGTATTGTTTTAGGGCTCATTATCTCGTATATTGTTCTATAGATTAACATTGTTTATAGTACTCATACACTAAAGTCAATGTTCCCGCATATCAAGATCACTAAGATAATTATTCAAGTAAACTGAGATAACTAACTTGTATGCTGATTGTATCTCTCTGTTCTAAGGTCATCAGTGACTTAATAGCTCTGGATGTTCCTAGAGCTTAAGAACACCTGGTGCATTCTTCTTCAAAGGGGTGGCGGGACAGAGATTGTCTTTGCTAGATCAGTCTCAGAGCCTGATGCCAGCACTTTGGGATTTTCCGTCCCGTTCTGTGCTCGGCAGTCCTCAGGTCATGAGTGGCTCCCCGCAATCGAGAAGCGCCAAGAAGCACCCCTCGTCACGGCCGTGGAGACCTGCTCCATCGTGGCTTCCAGCGCAGGGCCACTAGGCTGCATCTTTGCCCCAAAGTTCTGCGTTATTCTGATAAGACCTGATAAGAATTTTTTGGAAGGTTGAAGGAATAAAATAGATTCTAAGAGAAATAGGCAGTGAGGTTTTTATCTCAGAAGCCTCTATCACATTTTTGGCTTTTGAAAAATAAACCACTCAGATAGATAATATTACCTATATTACCTATAACTGTGTGTATGGATAGATCTATTATTTTTTCATTCAGATATTAGAAAACAACCAAACAGCTTTACCTCTATTTATCAGGGATTTCCCCCTCTCTTTTTAAAGTCCCTGTGAACAACCACATTCAGTCACCAAGTCTCACTTATGAACTGAGTTTCTAATAAGAATTAGTATCTGGTGTTTTTCATGGGCGTAAGTTTTTATTCCAGAAAAGCAACTATCTTGAATGGGAAAGCTGCATTAAACGTTGTGTGACTTATTATAAAACAAATTGCCACACCTATTTCTTAAGTGATTGGACTATTTTGTATTCCCATCAGCAACAGATGAATTTACTGACAGTACCACCACGCCTTTCCCAGGGCCGTGGTACTGTCAGTAACAGTCATTGTGGCCATTTGTATACTTTTGTGTTACACAATTAACGTGCTTCTAATACAGGAGATTAAAGGCATAGAGAACATAGTGATTATATAATAAATAATGAGGATAATATATTTTGATGGATATAATTATTACAGGAAGAGATTGATGCCCCGGTTCAGGAAAGGAGAATGGATTCACCCTTCCTTCACCTTTTTGTTCCATTTGGGCCCTTAGGAGATTAAGTAACACCGTCCCACGTTGTGAGGGTGGGTCTGTACTCAGTTTACTGGAATTAAATACTAATCTCTTCTAACTGTCAAGAACACACCCAGAAAAGGCACTTAACCACTATCTGGGTATCCCTTAGCCCAGACAAGTGGACACAAAATATTGGCCATCACCCATGGATTTATCCAGTCAACACCAATAGAAATATAGCAAGGTGGCCTGTGTAATTTGAATTTTGCAGAACACATATTAAAGAACATAAACACAAACAGAGGAAACTGGTTTTTAGAACATCTGTGTTTAACCAAAGAAATCAAAACATTGTCATTTCAAAATGCAGTCCGTATCAGAGGGAAGAACAAGTTACATTATATCCTTTTCTTCCTTCTGAGCCTTGAAATAGAGTGTTTTTCAATTACAGCACATTTCAATTCAAAACAACTCACATTTTTCAGCTTATATGTTACCAGATGTATGTAATGCTAATCACTCTCTCTAATCAGGTTTTCTGTCTTGTCCTTTTGGTGAATTTTGTTGAATACTGACTCCTGATACATCTTAACATGACCCAAGTTACAATTTTCCCCTGTGAATTTTATTGTATCAAAAGGAAGATGTATTTTCCTCATTGTGAAACTGCTCTTTTAAACAACATTAAAGCTGAGTGTGGTGTTTGTTTTAAAGAAACATATAAAGAATTCAGGTAATTAAAAAGACTCTGATTCCAGCAATAGACTGGATTACTAAATTTCAAGACAGTTTAAGGGCAAATATGCCAACAAAAGCACAGAGTGAACAATTTTGAAAAATGCCGAACAGAGTTAAAAGAGAAATGGGATGTGACTAAAGAGAGTAAAGAGAACATGGGGGAGGAATTCATAGCAGGAGTGAAAAGACAGAAGCAGATTTCAAATTAATAACAGACATCAACCCAGAGATACAATTAAGTCAACATTCCTGAATGAAAGTAAACACACAGGAATTGATAATGTTCTATGCTATGGTCTAAAAATCAACATTAAGGTAAAAGATTTGGGAGAATACACTGGCCAATTAAGGAAGAAACAAGCTAATTGGGGATGTTTAAACAAATAAGATAGGTCTCAACAGTAAGCACTGAAAAAAACTCTCTTCTCAAACAAGAATTCTATATTCAGCATCAACAGTGCCCTAAGTAAAGACATCTGAAAAAACTCAAAGTGGAACATTTCATTGTTCGCAGCCTTGAATTAGACAAAATACTAGAGTGATTTATTAAGTTTTCCAGAGGGAAATAATCCCAGATGGAAAACCAGGACTGCAGGAAGGAATGAAGAGGAAAGCAAAGGACTTTCTAGACATACATGTAAATAAACTGTGTTTTACAAAGCAATTTCAGATACAGCTCATGGAGATTAAAATACACGTAGAATTAAAATGCGTGACAGCAGTCCCAGAAGAGTCAGGACAGTTAAAGGGGATCTGAGAGTTTTCTAGGGCATTATAACATCTGCAAAAGGTGCTAAAAGGAATTGTCCGTATTTGGCTACATAAGTGAAGGATTCACAATTTAATAGCTAATAGAATTACTCCCAGATTTGCATACAATTGTGATTGACAAGTTGGTAGAGGGAACAATGGAATCATAAAAGAGTTAAACCCTATTCAGTGAAGTAAAAAAGAGTAAAAGGACTATTTAAGACACAACACTCTAAACTGACTCTACCTCAAAAAAAAAAAAAAAAAGACTATTTAAGCCAAAGAGCAGGGAAAGAGTTAAATGGATGACATTATCTCAAGTTTATCAGGAATCAGGTGAAATGTAAATGCACAAAACACTGATTTTGTTGGAATGGCTTTGTGATATAGACATTACAGACAGACTTGCCAATAAATATTTTGGATGTTCTTTATTGACGAACATTTAAAGTCTCAATTTCTTCCTATTATTATTTCCACAAGTTGTTTGGAAATTTTTGTATATAGAAACTTCCATCCCTATTTTTGTAGAAGTTATCCATAGTGGGAGAAAAGAAATATTACAAAGTTGAGAGAAACTACAAATACCGCCCCATATACGTAACACAAATGTGTTGTATTGTTTTCATCTAAGACCGTATACAACAGAGTCAGCAGCCCCATACTATTGTCTTCGTGTATAATGATTTAAGAATCTCTGTAATCCCCTTGATCCGAGATAGGGTGTGTCTCAGGATTACCTGCTGATTGGATTGTCCACTCCTTCCATAAACGTGCAATCCGAGGCAGAAGTCACTGCAGTTTCCAGCCAGCCTCCGACGGTCTGCATCTCAGGAGCGGGTCACAGCACAGCCCTGGGACGATGGGGCGACCTGCGTGCGGCCATTTTCCCCGTCAGCTGATTCTGGTGAGTGTGGAATCCATGTGGATGGCAAAAGTGTCCTTTTGTATCCCTTTTACTTTTGTAGAATCTCCTTAAGTTTGCAGAATTCAGCTCTTAAAACAAGAAGTTGTCTTATTGAAAGTTATTTTGGTGTTAGTATTAAGACATATTCAAGGTTTTATATATTTTTGTGAATATACAAGGTTGTGTATATTTATGAAGCTTTTGTGGGATAATGGCCCAGATTTTTGCTTTTAGACCAACATCACTGAGAACTGGAAGTAGCATTTAGCCCCGTGCTGTTCAAATTGCTCTCCTCTCTGGAAAACTCTTTACCCACAATTTGCTTCAGTCTTTTTTTTTAAATTAAGTTCTATGCTCAAAAAATGTCATCCATCAGGCTCTCCCTCAGCTCTTCAACCTCATTGTAGTTCATTCTTCCGCCCTCTCTCCCTTCTTACTTCTCTTCCTCCTTGTGTCCGTGCATCTTTCTCTGTTGGCCTTACTGCTTCTCACAGCACTTATTTACACCTGACACTATAGGAGACATTCTTTAGTCTATTAACACTTTTCTCTTACTAAGAGTCAAAGAATATGGGACAGACTTTGTTCAGTGAAATTCGGAATCCTAGGTTTTGGTACACAACTTACCACGTACTAGGTGCTCTATAAAGAGGAGGATTGAGCAATTTTCCCTGCAGACTGGGACATCTTAGTAATGAAAGGGGTGGTGGTAATAATTATGGCGAGGCAACAGGGAGAAAACAGCTTCCCCTTTTTAAAAAAAAACACCTTTGAGAACAGAAATGAGATACTGAAGAGGAAGGGGGCACCGATTAAATCTAAAAGTTAAACAGATTATTGTGATTAGAGCCTTAGAATGGATTACACAGAGAAAGGATTTGAAATCTTAATGGCAATGGGTTGCTATCTACCACAAATGAGGTTATATCATTACGAAGTGTGCTTGAGTGAATTTATTCGAAAAGTTTAGCAACGTACTTTTTTGAGATTGAAACTTTCTTTCAAAAAATATCCGAGCAAATTGCCAAGGGCAGAGCAAAAGGTTAATAAGTCAGCGGAAAACATTAAAGTCCACATTAGTCATCTCTTGACTGAGTATCTAACTTAGTGAGGAAACGGATATAAAATAGCTACTACAGATACAGTTACAACTTAGAAAAATCAATACGGAGAAAAAGTAATGTAAATTTTGATTACTGGATCAGGAAGGTCACTCTGTGAAAATGGTGTTTTTCAGGGATACTGAAAGGAGCTCGAGACTGATTCAAGGGCGGTGGCGGCCGCAGAGGCAGGAGCAGCAGCGCCGGGTTCCCCGCAGGTGCGTCCCGCGCGCGCTGCTCCCGGACCAGCCGAGGGTCTCCCCGCAGGGCCAGCCCGGGTCGTGTCAGGCGCCTGAAATCTCCCGCATCTCCCTCAGCTGTGGGAAATGGCTGAAAGGAATAAGGCTGGAACGAAGGAAAACTCAAAAGCGCCCCCTCTGGAGAAGAGAAAGACAGGCGAGGAGCAATTCCCTCAACTTTTTGTTGGCGGCTTGAGCTCTGAAACCACAGAAGAAAGTCTGAGGAACTACTACCGGCAGTGGGGAAAACTTAGAGGCTGCGTGGTCATAAGGGACCCTGAAACCCGGAGATCAAGAAGATTTGGTTTCGTGACCTTCTCCTCCACGGCCGAGGTCGATGCCGCCATGGCTGCCAGACCCCATTCAATTGATGGGAAAATGGTCGCGCCCAGACGTGCTGTGCCAAGGGAGGGCCGCGAAAAGCCGGAGGCTCTCGTCACTGCGAAGACGCTGTTTGTTGGTGGAATTCAAGAAGACACCGAGGAACATCATCTTAGAGATTACTTTAAGAAATATGGAAAAATCGATGCCATTGAGATAACCATTGACAGGCAGGCTGGCAACAGAAGAGCCTTTGGATTTGTTACCTTTGATGACCATGATTCTGTGGATAAGATTGTGTTGCAGAAACACCACAGCATCAATGGCCATCGTGCAGAAGTCAGAAAGGCCCTGTGTAGACAAGAAATGCAGGAGGTCCCAAGTCCTAGAAGTGGAAGGGGAGGCCGCTCTGACAGTGGTTACTCTCATGGTGGTGGTGGGAGAAATGTTAGTGGAGAACCAGAAAGGAAATTTCGAGGGGGATGTGATGGACATGAAAGAGTTAATAAAGTTGGAGGGAGCTCTCATGGGTACAAAGGAGGGCGTGGAGGTGGCAGTTTTAGAGGTAGCACTGGTTATGCAGGAGGAAGGGGAAGATATGAAGGTGAAGGATCCGAGTGTGACAACCAGGGTGAGGGCTCCGGAGGTGACTGTGACAACTCTGAGGGAGGAACTAGTGGAAGTGGAAATGGCAATGATTTAGGAAATGATCAGCAGAAACCTACGAGCAACTTACAGGAGAGTGGAAAACTTGATGATAGCAGAAATGTGGGAGGATCTTCCGGAGGAGAAGACCATTGTCCAGGAGGCAGTGGAGTTCAGGGTGAGACAAGACATCAAGCTCCTTCCCATCCATCGTGGGCTTCACTGTTTTATTAGGAAAGGATGAGAGCCCAGAGGTCTCAGAACAGCTTCAGGTATGGAAATAAGAACGTTAAGGAAACTCTTAGCTCAGGCATGTATAAATATGCAGTGAAATGGCAGAGGGCACCAGAGCAGGTGCAGAGAGCCATTTTGTGAACGCATTACCTGACCATGGAGGAATAACTCAATCAAAGATGCTTTTGAGGTCATTCCTTAGCTTCTGAATGGTTGTTTCTCTCTAGTTGTGTCTTTGAGATTGTAGAAGCATCCCATCTTTGATAATGTTAAATTCCATGGTGTAATTAAACAAATTAACACTATTCCTTGAAAACAGTTTAGTGCATGTGTGGAATGAAGCTGCTGTACATTTAAGAGTTAATAAAACAATTCTAAAGGAAAAACAGTTGTTTGTCTTCTTTCAGTGATCATTTTTGGCACTTTTATTTTTTTATTTTTAAATAAAGATTTTTTTAGTGTTATGAGATATCAAAGTTTGAAGTGTGGAAAATAATGATATGACTTACATGTTGACCACAATAACTTTGTTTTACATCCATCTCAGACAGCTACCAAAAAAGATTTTTTTCTTCTGAGAATTCTTAGGTTTACTCCTTTAAGATCTTTCATAGATATTATACAGCAGTGTTAATTCTGGTCATCCTGTTTATGTAATTCCCAGTTTAAATAATAAATTATTCAAACACTAAAACTTCCTGAAAGTTTTAAAATCCATCTGCATCACAGACATGGAAAACAAATGAATGGTTACCAGCAAGGGAAGCGGGTGGGAAGGGATAAACTGGGAGTTCAAGATTTGGAGATAGTAACCACCATATATAAACAACTAATTTATACTGAATAGCACAGAGAACTAGATTCAACGCCTTGTAGTAACCTACAATGAAAAAGAGTATGAAAAGGAATACATGTGTGTACATGCATGACTGAAACAGGATGCTGTACACCAGATATTAACAAATTGTAAACTGACTACATTTCAATTTAGAAAAGAAAAGCTGGGTCGAGGCAAAAACCAAGATTAAAGAATAAAATCCATCTGCTAACTACACTTACACAATGATGTCTTCTTTTGAGTGATCTGTAATGAATTAGCAGTTACAGCTTAAGATACCAAATCCTTTCTTCATATGATTAAATTACAAGATTCTAAGTCGCAACGATCCATTCAAAACATGAACCTCATAAGTTCATTGTAACATTTTATATATATCTGAAAATGTGTTATAGATGGAGAAGTCCCAGTAACTGCAGTCTCCGAGCTGGAAAACCAGAAAATCTCATGGAATAATTGAGTGCAAGTCAGATGGCCTGAAAACCAAGAGATCTGATGTCCGAGGGCAGGAAAAGATAGATTTCCCAGCTCAGGAAGAAAGAGGAGATTCATCCTACCTTCTCTTTTTGGTTCCATTTGGGTCCTCAGTAGATTGCATAACACCCATTCACTTTAGATCTTTTTCCTTACAGTCTACAGCAGCAAATGCTAATCTCTTCCTGGAACACCCTCAAGAAAAGACACAAACCAGCACTTATCCATTTATCTGGGTATCCCTTAGCCCAATCAAGTTAACAATAAAATTAGCCACCCTGCAAGCCTTTACCCAGCCAACATTAATAGAAATAGAATAACGTGATCTACGTAATTTTAAATTTTGTAGAACACACAGTAAAGAAAGTAACTCAAGCAGAGGACACTTGTTTCTATAATATACATATTTAACCAAGTAATTGAAATATTGTCATTTCAAGGTGTAGCCCACATCAGAACAAAGAACAAGATAGGTTATAGCCTTTTGTCCCTTCTGAACCTCAAAATACAGTGTGTTAAGATTATAGCACATGTCCATTCGAAAGTTAAATTTGAAGACTGTAACCTCAAAAGAGCATCTCAGAAAACTGTGAGAACATTTCCACCTCTTAGAAGTTAAGACACAGTTATATACTTTTTTTTTTGAGACCCAGGGCTGTACATCAAATAAGGTATTTTGACAGTTTACATAATCCAGGTCTAAGGGCCATAAGACCCTTAGGAGCTCAAGGTGGAATGTCATCTTTAAGGAGTTGCCTTAGGAGAAGTTGCTCTGTAAGGTTAAGCGGGGATTTCTGCCGATGGGGCAGCGGTGGTTGATGCATAATGCAGGTACACAATGCATGTGGCGGGGAGAGGAGGTCACAGGGCGGAGAAGAATTTTTTATGTTTAAATTTTTTTGTCTTGCCTTAAAATGTGAATTTTATACCGTAATTTCTCCCTATTAATCATTCATCTTTCAATAGAAAGCATTAGGTGATCAAATATTCGGTCCCTCGAAGCTGGGATGGCTGCTCGCCCGCCCAGTGTCCATCTTGTCCCTTGATGCCGGGTTCTGTTAGCCCAGTTCTCTATTTTGGGGGTTGTGCTAGTACAACGTTCAGCAAGGACTGACGGCTAATTCTAGTTTGTACCAAAAGGGACTTAAGCCAATTTTCCTTGAGTGTGCGTTGTGTGTTCCCATTATCTTATAGACTCTGTAGGTGATCTATAGTTTCAAGTCGTTTGGACAATCATCAATCCAGCACAAGCAGACGACACACAGCGCGAAAGGCAAGAAACCGTCACCTTACAAGCTGCATAAACTGCAGTTTAAACTGGTAGTAGGGGCAACAGTGTCATCAGCAATCATTAAATTGTTTAAATGTCTCTTGTCTCACCATAAAATATGCATTTTATTTCACAAGAGCAATCACACAAAGTATTAGTTTATCCTTTCTAATGGCGTGACTATTGCAGAGTTTGACCCATTTTTCAAGTGGTTTTTCAATATTCTGTTTCATTGGCCAGTATTGTGTTTATATAATTTAGCGTGATATACTTTACCTAGGCATATAATGAGATTCTCTTCTCCCACTCAGGTTTTTCACCTGCTTTGTCCTTGTGGTGAATTTTGATGAATACTGAATCCTAAGATAACTTACCATGATCCAAGTTATAATTTTCCTTTATCTGTTTGGGTTTTATTGTATTAAAAGGAATCAATTTTCGCCTCACTGTGAATGGCTCTTTGATTAAATTGTGTATTGTTTTTATGTTAGAACTGAAATTAAGAATTTAAGCAACTAAGAAGGTATTGATACCAGCAATAGACCAAATGACTAAACTTCAAGACAGTTTGAGAGCAAATATCCCAAAATAATTTTTTTTAAAAAAAAAGAGCAAATATCCCAACAGAAGTTCACAGTGAACAATACTAAACTACTCAAAAGGGAGTTAATGTAGAAGTGGGATGTTGTTAAAAGAGGAGCAGGGAGAAGGTGGCGAGGAAATGCTATCACAAGTGAAAACATACGAGCATGTTTCAAATTGGTGGAAGACATCAACCCACAGTTGCAATCTCTCAGCTTTCCCTACGGGAAGCACACACCCAGGAAATGATCATGAGCTACACTCTGGTCTAAGAACCACAGTTAATGTAGTAGAGTTTTAGAGAATACAGAGGCCAAACCAGCAAGAAAAAGGCTAACTGGTGAAGTCTAACTAGAAACAAAATAAGATGGACACAGAACACCATTTTTAAAGTGCTAAAAAATGCATATGCAGCCAGAATTCTATACCCAGCATCAATACTTCCCAAGTAAAGATGTTTTAACAACTATACAGTCACACATTTCATGGTTAGCAGCCTTGGATTAGACAAAATACTAGAATATTAAGTCCAGAAGAAATACTCCCAGATTGAAATCTAGGAATGTAGGAATGAATGAAGTGGAAAGGGAGCAATAATTTAGAAATAAATATAACTAAATGTTTTATTAATTATGATGACAGCTGTGGTTTTTTCATATATGGCCTTTATTAGATTGAAGTGTCCTTTTCGTCCTCCTCTGTTGAGTGTCTTTGGTGAGAATGAGGGTTGACACTTTATTTATATGTATTACACGGATTGGTTTTCATACATTGGACCATCCTTAGATTCCAGCAATACATCCCATTTGGTTATTGTTCATAATCCACCCAACATGTTGCTAAATGCAGTTCCCTAGTATTTTATTGAAGATATTTCTAGTGGTATTCAGGAGGATATTCATCTGCAGCTTTCCTTTTTTGTATTCTCTTTGTCAGGCTTTCTATTAGGGTAATACCGACCTCATGGAATGAGTTGGCGTGTTCCCTCCTCTTCAATTTTTTGGATGCATTTGAGAGCAATTATTGTTAACTAATTTTTTATATTTGGTGGAATTCAACAGTGAGCCCATTTGATCCAGGGCTGCTCATGTTGGACTTTTTGGACTCTGATTCAATCTTCTTACTAGTTTTTGGTCTATTCAGATTTTCTGTTTCTTCAAGATTCCGTTTTAGTGGGAGCACCTCCAGGACTTTGTCCATTTCGTCTGGGTTGTCTAATCTGTTGGTGTGCAATTGCACATAGTATTCTCTTAGCATCCTTTTTATTTCTGTAAATTCAGTAGTAACACCTACACATTATTTCTCATTAGAATCCTTTGAATCTTCTCTCTGTTTTCTTAGTCAATGCATTTAAAGTTGTATAAATTCTATCCTTTTCCAAGAACGAACTTTTGTTGATTTTTCTCTATTGGTTTTCTCTGCACTATTTTGTTTATCTCCATTCTGTCTGTACGAGTTCATTCTATTTGATAGATCTGAATTTAGTTTTCCCCACTTTCCCTAGTTATTTCAGGCGTAAAGTTAAGTCATTGATGAGATAGATTTCAAATAAATCAATTTTTATCTAAGATAAAGTGTCCTCTTGATTACACATGCCTTACTGATAATTGGTGTTCCCCTTTTCTCTTCTTGCTGAAGCATCATCTGAAATCATGCTAGAGTCCTATGCAGGTCCCACACCAGCCTGTCCTAGCCCTGCCAAGTCCCCCAGAGCCACAGTCTGACAACAACCATGGAGTCCTTGCAGGGACATCGATCATGGACACAGATGACAGAGCTCTCCATGTCAGGATGAGTTTGTCCCCTCCACATGCCCTCTACACCTCCCCGCCCCCGCCTCCAAAGTTTGCTATTCACAGACCATGATGAAATCATACAGACAAGGGGAAAAACAAGTTTTTCCTCCTTGTTTTTCACTAGGTTGGAGGGAGACAGGTGCAGAGCCTCAGGACAGGAGCCTCCCCAGAGGTCCTCACTGGGACTGACATGAAGCAGTAAAAAGAAGGGGAAGTCAGGCTGCTCTCATGACAGTGACACTGAGGGTGAGGTCTCAGCACTGTGACTCCCTTGGAAGTCCCTCCTTTATGATTCTGACTGAGCCGTTGTGCAGCACCGCAGCCTGGCACACGCCCTGCAGTGTCTTCGCAGGCTGGGAGGCAGGGCTGGGGGCGGACGCTGTGCTGCACGTGAGGGGATGCTTTCTTTCCTGAGCCAGAGCCTGTGGACTTGCTCCCGATGCGTCTTCTCCTCGGCTCGGCTTAGACCCAGGCTTCCGTCTCTCCATCGGGCAGACCCCGCAGAGCCATTCTCTCCCGTTTGTCTCTTCCGGCTCCTGCAGCCTTTGCACACTGCGTGCAAGACGGATTACGGCGACTGTTTGCTAGACCAGAAGCCGAGCGTCTACAGAGATGGGGACCTGCAGGTGGCTGGGTTTATTCCCCTTTATTCCATTAATCAGGAAGCAGATATATTCCGGCTGTCTTCTGTGCACAGACCGAGGGAGCCGACACCGGGTTTGTAGTTTCTTGTGTGCATGTCCCTGTGCGTCTGTGTGTGTGTTTCACCTTCCTGAAAATGACCTAAGATGTGCACAGAAACGGCAGGAAGGTAGACCAGTGGGATCCTGAATGTTCTATCCCTTCTTCGTCCCTCTACGACCTAAAACGCTTTCTCCTCACACCTTTCAAGACAGAGGAGAGAATCATGTCCACTCCATCAGCGGAACATCCCAGATCAGTTCATGGAGGCCTGAGAACCAGTGAGACCGCTGAACCCCAGCCCCTGCTGCCAGGACTTTAGACTGAGGCATGCAGTCCCTTTGAGACACTGATCCCCCGACCTGAGGCCACTCTTAGGAGAACGTGGCTCAGTCTGGATGCCCACTGCTGACCAAGACAGCGCTGAAATGTGTGCCTCTGCAGGGACCCTAAGTGCCTTAGATTCACCATCTAAAAAAAATAAGTCCCACTAAAGATCATTATTTTAATCCCATCAGGATTGAGGTATTGAGCCCAAAATCCCAGAAGCCAAAAGATCAGCAGGTTGTATTTCAGAGGATGTCAGAGTCCTTCATTTTTATCCATTTCATTAATCCTCCAGGAAAAATGAGGACACTGCCTGAAAATCTGGACTTTATCTAATTGTGTGACATGCATGTCTCTGGTCAAATTAGAGTAACAATGCTTAGCAAGGGGTTCATCCAATAGCTCACAATATTTGGATAAATGGTTTACCCAAAGTGGAATTGCATATTATCTAGAAAGTCATAGGGGGAGGGTATAGCTCAGTGGGAGAGCACATGCTTAGCATGCAGGAGGTCCTGTGTTCAGTCCCCAGTACCTCCTCTAAAAATAAAGACAAACCTAATTTCCTCTCCACCCCCAACCAAAATAAAATAATTAGATAATACAAAAATAAATAAATTAATTAAATACTAAAAAAAGAGAGAAAACTGATGATGGTAACAAACTCAACATACCTTCCTGGGTTATAAATGAATTTATCTGGATTTTAACCCAGGCTTTTGTGAATCTACAACTCCACTTCAGAGGACATTTAGGAACTTCTGTCCTCGTACATAAGGAACAAATCCATTTAATCAAGTAGCTGAGTCAAGAAAATAAGCTAATTATATCAAATAAAATTAAGATCTTTCAAATAGCTTTTAATATAAATTTAGAGGAAATATACATGTGTAAAAATTAAGGTCATAAAGTTAATTTCCTATCTGACTTGCTTATTAACCACAATATTTGATGCCCAACTTAGAGCTCATTTGGTGTTGGCTCTTAGAAAAACAGGTGGCCTTTCCAAGATGATTTCCAAAGAAGGGATTCTGGATGATTTAGGATGCTTCTATCACAAGTGCCTGAAGACTTAAACACCAGATGCTTCAACAATAAGGATAGGATGTCAGCAAAAATGATGAAGTAGAGAAATCCAAAAGCCTGCACTTCCAAGACTGTTCAATAAACTGACCAAAAAAAAAAAATCAGAATTAAGTTTTTCAGAATTCTGGCATCCAAACTAAAGCTTCCAACAAGGGGAATGCCTCAGGAAGAAAAAATGCTTGAATTTCATTATAGCACTTTATGTTTTAATTTACTTTGGTACCATTCTTGACTCCCCAGCTCAAAAGAGATCTTTTAAACAACACCCCCCAATCTTAGTACAGGTTACTAGTACCACAAGGAGTTATACGAACACTATTCTGAAAGATCATGTCTCTTTGTTTTGACCTACCCTGTGGCTTTCTGAGGACTGTTGTAAGACTTACCTTTAGTTCA